TACATCAGTCGCCTTTGTCGGCAGCTCAATAACTACCAGTCTGAGTATCCCGTACGGGAGCAGCAGCTTAAACACTGTCAGACAAAGGCTACGCCCATCCTCCAAAATTTGGCCGCTGTCCGAGAGCCAAACTTGGCTAACTCCTTCGGTGAGGTGAAGAACGGTACCGAGCACGAGATGGCTGCTGCCGGAGAGGCGCTACGTCGAGCTGCTGATGTTATGCAGGGCCTGACGCGTCAATTGGAACTGGAGGAAAAACGTCTAGTATGTGGCCAGTCCCTAATTTAATCAGAATAACTGCTAACTAATGGAGGTTGGAAGTCTCCTCCGAGATTCTAAAGTCCGGTTTTGGTTCACGCTGAGCAGGCTGCGATGATACGCACCGGATAAGGCATAATAATTATTTTGTAATTACAGGTTTGACAGATTTGAATAGTTCGATTAACCCAATTGGGAAAAATTCGCGGCCTCGGTGGGAGTCGAAACAACACGGCAGGGAAGGCTTTTGCGCAGCCAACGCTCTACCATTGAGCTACGAAGCTCACCGTGCGCAAAGACTTCCCTGCTGTGCGGGTTCGCCTCCCACCGAAGCCGCGAATTCTTCACAATAAGTTCAATCGAAATAACAATTATTTGTTTAAATCGGAACACGGTAAGCCCACAAATACTTTTTGTACACGTTAAGCCTTAAGATGAATGAGGGGATGGCACGTCTGCTTACTGCTAAGAGCTGACCACCCGTGAAAAAGCCACCATAAAGTATTTAACTAACCCCACGATTTTTATTAGTCTATAGCAGCAGTGGCGACCTCTTTTATTTATCATCCTTCGAAAACACGTGGTTGATGTTTTAACAATATGATTTGGACTAAGATTAAGCCGAGAGTACAGTTTTATCGGCAGAATATTGTTATCGTAGATGCTGCTACTGCGGCGGAAGCAGTAACTGGAGGTAAATTGTCCAAAGGAAGGTAGATTAAGCGGGACAGATTCAGATATAGGGTGGTCGCAGACAGCATTACAAAGAGACTGATGGGTTAGAAGTAGCATGCCCGAGGCCGGACGTCAAAAATACACCCATCAAACGCTGTATCCATTGGGTACCACATTGGGACCGCATGCATCACAAGGGTATGGAAATTGATGTGAGTGTCTCTTCGGTTGATTGAGTTCTGTGGAGTGGTTGTATCAACTGCAACAGTTGTTCAATTTGCCCAGTTTCTGTAAAACTTACTCATTCTATCCCATTTTCGTTCTTCATTATGGTTATTCATCCCCACAGATGACTAGTGGAGCCTTTATTATGGAATTTTTGAGGCTGCGGTCGTGTTGGTAGAGTTTTGCAACAACGAGAACGCTGAAGCTATCAGTAGCAATAGCTCTGTATATGTCTAATGCATTTGTGTATATGTGTCATCTCTTTGATAACTGAATGTTCTCCAATCTTAAAGAACGTAAAACTCGCCTGGTAGAAATCCCTTGCCACCGGCGTCTCATCATGCATGCGCAAGAATGGGCGCACCAACTGTAAATTCAACTCATAAAAATCCAGCTAATTATGCTGTTAAAGTAGAAGAATATATGTAAGTAAGCCGCACCGGGCGTTTTCCGGTGATTGGTAATTAAAGTGAGCCTTATTATTTTTATCGCTGGGGTTATCGCGAGTCAACCAAAAGTGTTTCCATCAGCGTTGAAAATGAACATCAAAAATTACTCTCCGTCGAGAGGTAAACGTTTTGTCAATATATGCCATTGTCACTACTGTTCTGTTTATCCCACAGTACTCAGACAACTCCGAATAGACGTAACAACCTAGTTTAAAGAACAATTGTTAAGGAAAGGATGAATTGCACGAAAGCCTTAACAGGGCTCAGCAATAAGGACGCTCCGCCCACTTAAAATGACTGGCCTTGTGCTAAATTTCAGGAAGAGTAAATATTCCAGTGTCTTAACTTTAAAACTAGTCGGAACATAAAACTAAACTGTAACCTTAATCCTAATCCTACCTTACCTTAGACTTTGCAGTTAACTTGCGCCCAAACCTTAACTCTTAACATAATCTTGATAAACTGCAACTCTCACCTCAGCTCCAACTTTAAATCTGACCCTAAATCTAGCCGTAACCCTCACCTCAATTCTTGACCTAACCTCCCTGGAATTTAACGCCAAGTAACATGTATTGTGGGCGGTTCCTGTTCCCATAATGCTGTACAAGTCATCCCTAGCGTTGTAAGTCACGCATTTGCCAATAAATTCTGCCGATCATTGCTTCAGTGCCTTCATGCTACAGTACCTGCGTCGGCTGTATACCGTGGGTTACTCAACGCAAAGCGAGTATAGCTTTCCTGTCTAACAACCAGGATAGATCGGTCACCTGTTCTGCTTGTACCTTCCGAAAGGTTTAATTGGATTCTGTTATGTCCATACGTTTTTTCTTCTTCTTCGCTCCTATCTTCCTAATCGAGATCGCATTAATAAAAAACACTAGAAACAGCATTCTTTCCTGTCCATAACCGATGACACTATTATTTTTATCACAGTTGTTGTAGTAACGTATCTTTATTTAGAAGTTCTAAGCTCTTGTCCTTTAGGTTTACTATTTTACTTTGTATGTGCACCCTGAAACGCCCTGAAATTGTTCACGAGCCTTCTAATAGGATAAAAAAGCTCCACTGTGCTTCCGTTTAGATGAAATGTATGAGTTATTTGTTTTAACACCTCCCTCACTTGATAGGAAATGCCCACCTGAAGTAAATACATGTATATAACCGCGTAAACATACGCCCCTTTCAGGCATTTTTGGCTACCGGAAAACAGGAAGGCAGGCGAATCGACATGATACAACAACAGGCGGTTGAGGCCGCATACAGTGCCCTGGGCATGGATGCTGTCGCTGCGGCTACGAAGAACGCAAACGGCGAAGTCCCCGGTGGCGAGACTCCTCAACTAATGAATGGTGGACCATTAATCGTACCGAAGATAACCAATGAAATACAGTGCTCAGCACCCCCGATGCCTGGACAATCAACTATTGCGCCCAAAGACTGCCTTACACTGCTAGACACACTGTCAGCCACTCTTGCTAACAGGGAGGACAACCCTTTGCAGGAGAAATATAAAGAACTACAGAGCTATCAAGCAGATCCAAACCTTTCAAAAGAGGTAAAGTTTAATCTGTTTTATCATAAATTCTGCACAACTGATTTCAGTGCGTGTCCTGTTCTGTGCTTACGAATCACCTGCGATTTTTCTTCTCTTTTTGTTGTTATCGTTGATGTTCTTCTTCTTCTTCTTCTTCTTCTTCTTCTACGTCCCTGTGTTTTACTTGTTAGTATATGTATAACGATTGTACTCAAAAATATCAGACTCACTGAGTTAAAGGGTTCCAAGCAAGCAGCAAAGGTGATTATCACAGTCTAAACAGCTGCTCGAAGGTCGTTCTTTCTTCTTCCCATTGCCTGGACGGAGCTTTTTCTTATAAAGCCAGTTTATAAAAAATCTATTGCTGAAATCTTTGCCTGCGTTGACAATCTTTGCTAATACGGGTTATGAGGGAACAATTTTCAGGCAAATGTAAAAGATCTAGCTTCAGAAGGTATAAGTCAGCGTGTTCAAAATTCAAGATATGAACCTGTTAAAATCTCGGCGCTTGACTTAGTTCGGTACAAAGCACTTTTTAACCTATTCGTTAACACTCCAGGAAATTTAAATTGTAATTTCAGACGCCGATAACATTGTTCGGTTATGTGGATGTGGCAGTATTTCTTTATTGTAGTTTCAATATAGCAAGTTGCAGTTTGCCCACATGACTGATTATTTGCACTTGATTTAAATCTCGGGAGCATGTTAGTAGGATGACCCCGTGAGTGATTCTGCGCCTAAAGCCGTCAGGGTAGTATCGTTGAGCAACCCGGTATCCTTCATATTTAGGCCACAGGTTTGATTGCAAGTACTTCCATCGCGAAAGCGAAAGGATAGATAATCAAGGCATATGAGATCTGTACTAATTTGATACCGAACGGTGAAAATTCAGCTTGAGTCTTTTGCGCGCTTAAATGACTACGAGTTGAATAGTATAATGATTGGAAAAAAAGGTAGGATATTTGGAGGCCAGGGACACACAATAAAATAACTTTGATGCACCAATTTTTGTTGATTTCATAGGCCTACAACGAGCAAGCAGTTGCTGCCGACAACAAGTTGTATCAGGACACGCACGCCAAAGCAACCCGCACGGGGGCCATACTGGCCGCACTGAAGGCGCAGGTACTCTATCAGACGGAGTGTGAAAATTGGTTCCAGATGGCTACAGATAGTCTTGACTGGATGAACGAAATGCAAGCCAAAGTGGACGATACCTTTGATTGGCGCGTCACACTCAGACGCTTCGGTGTGGATGTAAAGCCGAACCAACGGACAACCGTTGAAATGGCAGACGGTGGCCCTAAGGGCACTGGAGGCATGTCCAAACGCCTTGCCAGGCACAAGCAGCTGGCTGTTGACGTGAGTTCACGAATCCATACTTTACCAAATTAGGTCCGTTTTTTGTGGAGCGTTTGGGCTTCACTGGAGGTCTAATCGAGTTCTTCACTCATCCAGAATATCAGATAACATACAGTATGGCGAGTGCTGCAAGAAACTTGCCTAAGTTTGTAAAAGTTTGATTATTTCTCGCATACCAGCGAGAACGCATTTTAGAAAACTTAGAAATAATAATGAGCAGCATTACGCAGATGAAGTACTTAAAAGAACTATAAGAAGTACTAAGTGGTTGTTTAGAAAAATAAAAAATGTCCGATAAATCCCATGTTCCGGAAATGTAAATATAGCTATAAATTAGAACAATAAATTTAAATATTTCATTAAGTTGAAAACGGAATGGAACCAATTTCTTTATATAAAAAGAAAGCTTCTTTAGTCAAAATATTTTGTACATATTCCCATTAGTGGATAACTATTTATTGAATATCGTGGAATAAAATCTGTCATCATTTCGTTCGTTTTCAGTGTCTTCATTAATTAATTGATAAACTGCGCTTCTGTTCGATGTTTACACCAAAACCTTTAAAATAAGATGTATATATATATACAGTAGCCGCCGAAGACCATGCAACGCTAATTATGAAA